GATTTGTTGGAAGCCTCAACCACTCAACGGAAAACGACTGGAGCAAAAGCAATGGAGAAGAGTTGCGATCCGCCGTAAGTGATGGATCATCTGGGTCAGGCGGTCAGGCCGTTTGTGGAGCTTTGGCCGCCGCCGCCTACAACCCGTACATCTTGAGAGCTAGCGCCATCTCTAAGAGCTTTCCTAAGGCAGTGCTGGATAGAATCACTTCTATCTGTCGCATCTTCCTTTGGCGGTGTAAATTTGCTAGAGTGGAACTCTGCCCTCCTGGCTAAAACCTTGTGGGATATCAACACAAAAAAGGATAACCTTTGGGTTAGGTTGATTCATGGGGTCAATCTTAATGGAAGAGGTGTTTGGGAGTTTACACCTCATAAAAGAGACTCCCAACTTATTAAGAAAATTGCTCTGATTAGAGACCAAATCTTGTCTCACTTTGATAACATCCAGGAGGCTATACACCATCTCCATGGCTTCCAAATTAATGGCAAGCTCTCCTCAGCCAAGGTGTATAACCTGCTTAGAATTAGAGGGGTTCCTCGGGGTTGGATGTCTTTCATATGGAAAAAGTATATCCCTCTTAAATTCTCCTTCATGGTTTGGTTAGCCTTTCGGGACTGGCTTGCTACTCTTGATAACTTGCATTCTCTAAAAAGTTTTTAAATGATTTTAGTTTTCTTATGGAATTAATTCTTATGGGTTTTTAATTGTCACTATTGAGTACTAATATGCTAGAAAAAGTGATGCTTCTTTACCTTGCTGCTCCATTTTCAATCTCGATGAGATTAGATGTAGCTTTAGAGTGTATTATTTTTCTTATATAATTTCTTCTTCCAGTAAGAGTAATCTTAACCTTTTGAGCATCTTTATTTATAAGCCTTTCAAATCTATACAACCAATTGGTATTGCAAGGCATCCTCATGGACTACTCTTGATCATGTATTCAATATTATTAATAAAGTGTGTTTGTGAATTGATCAGTTTGAAATCTCTTTTATTAATTTCTGATTTTTCTAATGTTTTTAAGGTGGGAGCATTTACTATGAAGTACAGATTGTGAGACTTCAGCGTACTCAAGCTTGATGCAATGTTTTATGTTCATGACTCATAAAAACTCGTGCCACCCAAAGGAGAACATAGAATGAAACTTTGACATGCTCACACCGCATGGGTGTGTTATAAGAGCACATTCAAATCGCTTCAAATCATAGAAAAATAATTAATTGGTTTGGTTTTCTTTATTGGACTTATCTATACAAAACCATTTCCTCATTGCTTCATTTCAGAACATTAAATTTAAAAATTCTCGAAGCAAATGGCAGATAGCATAGGATTTTTGGATCTTCATTGCAAGGGAAACCATTTTGGAGAAATTCATTTGAAGGTTTGTTGTTTATAAATTTGATGGTTTGAATTGTCTTCATTTACTCATTGAATTTTGTATACCCACTTTCTTATTGTGGTCATTCGTTGAGGTGTAACTGGCTAACTGCCATACTGAAACTATTTTTGGCATAGCTTAATTTTTTCCTGTTTTTAATCATCATTGAGGTAGTTTTTTTTTTTTTTTTGCTTAAGTGATACTATGTAGATTATAAGCAGACTCAGTTTTAGTAACTTTTTTCAAAATGGTCTTGAAAATAATTAAGTTTGTATGAACTCTATAAAAAGGTTTTACAAGGTAAAACAGTACGGAGTATGTAATTAGATGATAAGGAGAAATTACCCTAAATAGGACTAAAAGCACTTCTATAGTCCAAAAATAGGACTGTCATGTTTTTATTCCCAAAATAGGACTAATTACTGCCATGTTTTGGTAGTACCAGGCTATAAAGATGACAGTATTTTCCAAACTTGACAGTAATTACTCCTATTTTGGGAATAAAAACATGACAGTCCTATTTTGGAATTTTCAAACTTATTTAGTTCTATTTCGGGAACTTTCTCTAAAATAAGCTATTATAGAGCAACTAAATTCTCTTAAAGTAGTGAACCCATAGGTTCCCAGACAAGCTATTATAGAGTATTTGTTAATTTGTTATTACATGAAATTATTATTATTTTTTTTTGGAAGAATTACATGAAATTATTTGGTTTATTATTTTAAATATTTCTATATACAATATATGGACATGTTTCATCAGTTCAGGCTAGAAAATCACCATAAAGACTATCTGTATTCATAGGAATGAAGACACTACATTTTAACCTGGCCACTTTTTCCAAAGAGTTTTTTATACCAAAATGATTATACTCCGTAAGTCCGTATTAAAGACTATCTGTCACAACCTTTTTGTTCTACTCCTTAAAATAGTGTTCTCCATAGAAATGATAATTCTGTGATCGAAAAAAATTACTAATGAAAGCTAACTCTTAATTAAGTTGTTCCTACATCATTTACCAAATAAAATTTTCCAACGGTGAGAAATTCGAACATCGAAAGCTAGAGGCTCGGAAACGTGATGGATTGTCATCTGTTTTCCTTTTGAATCACTGGATTTTATGTGACAGATTGCCATCTATCGAATCTGTCAATGGTTATGTTATTTTTTAATCAAAGTAAGTCTCTTTTTTGTCATGTGATTTTTCCTTATAGCCTTATCTTTTGAATTTATATGAACTTTTTATTCTACTTATCCACTATTATCCATATTTTCATAAATGAATGTATTATATTGTGCTTTACGCAACGATTCCATTTTGATTAATCCAGAGGTTTTGGTCAATACTTGGGTTAGAGAGTTTTAATTGTGGTTTAGATACATCAGGGCTGAGGCTCAGATCCTGATACCAGATCGGGATCGGCCAGTTTTCAACAGAGGGGCCAAAAATTAAGTTTCCGGAGTGGGTCAAAGAGTCGGGGATTAAAGGGGGACGGGTTCCGGTCTCATTTTTTTTGGGCTGGGATGGGCCGATCTGGTCCTTTTTTTTGTATTACCACAAGCATGAAAATGGAAGGTTTAAAACAAAACGAATAAAAACTATTACCTAGGACCAACCGGGACTGGCAAGTGAATCGGCTTGAAATATACATCCCGGGGCTGGCAATTTTTTCAGGACCACCAAGTCGAGGGCTGGAGCCGGGCGTGTTCATACCTACCACACATGAGTGGCTAATTTTGATAGAGGATTGTACACATATAGTGTTTGCATCAACAATTTTGTATGCATCCCTTGTAAATTTTACAGTAGTATATAACTATTCAATGTTATCCTTGGATAATCTATCAACATATTCTAATATTATAGCTACAACAATCAATTGGGCATTTTCCCATTGCGCAACGCGCGTCATATAATTAGTTTTTTGAAAATAAAAGGTATATTGATATACCGTTATATCGAAAGTCCTACTCAAATATATATTTTTGAATATAAAAATGGCTGAATACACAACATCATATTAGGGATAAATGATTTTATACTCGTGTTGTTTGAATAATTTTCTTTTTTGTTAGAGATCACTATTGATATAATTATATCTATATTGTTTAAGTTCTTTTAGGGAAATGTGTTATTTTGTAAGACATGGCATGTTGAAATGCTTAAATATACAGATAATAATAATTATTGTTCAATATTGAATATGACATCATTAGATTCGTATTTCTATTTTGTAACATTTTACTAATTGATTAAATATATCGCTAATAACATCGATTTTGTATATTTCATTAGTATATGATAATTTATTATATTGAGAGAAATGCAAAGTAATTTATCGATATCGTATCATAATCGAACTGAAACTTCGGTATACCGAGGTTTTGGTAAGGTAACGATATACTCCGTATAAATTTTGTATACCAAATAATTTGGTACGGAAAAGATATGAGAGAAAATATTTGATATACCGTATTGAAACACCCCTAGTGTATATCTCATCTAGCTATGGAGGCACAAGCTAGCAGCTCGTTATCTCCTAAACCGCTGCCATGAGGTGGATGAGAAGGTTAGTGTCGGAAGCTTATATTCAGTATTCATCACATGAATGAGTACAAGACTGTAATAGATGTTGTTGGTGTTAAAGTAGGATAGATCTAGAGGATTAGTGGACTCATTCAATTGTTACTTGTAGGCGGAGTAAGGGGTGCAAGCTGATAGTTCAAGGTGTTTGGCTAGCCAAAGTTTTACTACAATTTGAAATGTTTTTATTCACTTTTTCATCTATCAATGGTTAATTTGGTGTGTGTTGTGTAGGTCTTTTGATGCTTAGATTTATTGTGGAAAGAAGTATATATGGCTGGATTGATCTTCAAAAGCCTCGCATTATGACGATCTTTTTCTGTGTCGGATTATTGAATAAGAGAACATTCGGATGATTTTGAATAGAGAGACAAGGTAGGTATTAGCTTTAGGGGAAAAACTCATGCATTATTTTGAATAGAGAGACAAGGTAGGTATTAGCTTTAGGGGAAAAACTCATGCATACTTCTGAGTGAACAGATTATTTTTTATGTGTGAATAGTCAATTTACAAACGGTTGATGTTTATTCTTCAGGATTCAAAGGTCCAACACAAACTTTGGTTTTCGTCGAAATTCCTTGGGTAAGTAGATTATTTTAGTGAGTGTTTAAGACAACAAAGAATCAAGAACAATTGATTAATTAGAGGCAAAGTGGATCCAATTCTATTCGAATTCTATCGAACGATTATAATACTTCTATCGTGCGGCGCTCTGACCCTCTAGACAAAGCTGATAGTTATTGTAGAACTAGAGAGAAGTCTAATGGTTAAGAATACAAAGTTGTCAACCTTTTACAATAAAATAAATGTTGATATTCATACTACAAGTTAGTATGTAGAACAGTGATGTGGCCTACCCTGAGTTCATGAAATCTCCAACCATAAAATCTTTCATATATGGTTCATTAAATGTGCTTCCCGCCAATTATGAGATTTCCTGCCCAACTGTTTGCAGGGTCTGACTTGAGCGGTCGCTAGAGTAGAGAAGAGAAACCCAAGTGGGGAGAATATGTCGCCCGGTAATAACGCGTGAGAATGTCGAACGGCTGTCCTGACTTGGCTATGTTGCTGATGGGCGTGTATGAAGACTGGGCCCTCAGGGGTATTTGGGCCTGATATCCAATCACAATCAAAACATATTTTGTATGTAAATAAGTTATTCATAAACAAAAAATAATTTGATCAAAGATATATGCATATGAGGTGTTTTGTTTTAAGAAAATGCCAAACTATATTAATTTGATCGAAAATTTGGAGTTACAACTAGCCAAACATTCAAGATCTGTCAACTACCTTCAAACAGACTCAATCTAGATTTAAGAAAAGTCTTACGATCAGACTTTGAGATGACCACCTCCACAGAATCAACAGGAATATTAAATCGTTGACTAGCAAAAGAGCAACCTAGAGTTCTTTCTGACCCTTGAGGTCACCGTACTCTTTATCACTTCAATAAACGTAAAATATTAGTCGAAGAGTTCCATCAGTCCCTGATCAGACATAGGAAAATTCACCCAAAATAGAGCGAAATTTTTCGCTGAACATACAGGAGATTTGAGGCAAATAATGACCATAAGCATCCCCAAAATACCGCTAACACAAACATGCCAAAAGTATAGTAAAAAGTTTTTTTAAAAGTAAAGTAAAAGGTTTAAAAAGGCGTACGTAAAACTGAAAAGAAAAGTGGAGCAATAAAACGCATGCGGCCAGATCCAAACTTGAAGCATCTTTTTCCAAATCCTAACCACTTGATCCCTCCATGGTCGCGGTTCCGAAGGGGACGAATTGACAATACAGCATCTTTTCCCTCACTCTTCCCCTTGTGCATCACATTCTCCTTGAATCCACACATCCAGTTCCGAACTAGACTTGCATCAGGCGAAAGATTTGCACCAGAAATCATAAGAACACTTACAGCCTAAGTGACCTTCGAGCACTACCACAGAGGGTAGATCAAAACTACCAGACACATTGAATAAGCTCACTGCCGGAAAGAAAAACCCTAAAATGTCAGGGATTGGAAATGGCCGCATCATATGAAGTGTTTATAAAAAGTATGTACAACAAACAGTTTGTAGTTTAAAAAATATCATGCATGATTCTGGATGATTATATCAGGTATATAAATAATGATAAAATTCAGGTATATATACAAACATATATAGTTTTATCTTAATTTATAATTTCATTTTATTTATATTCATGGCTAAAGTTAAAGTACGCATATCTCTTAGAAAATTAAAATTTAAAAGTAAAGCAATGTCCAGTGAATCTTGACGGTCTAGGCGACCGATTAGACACTCTAGGCGGACAATTAGGTGCCATAGGCGACCGACTAATTCACCTAGATGACAAACCAATTACTCGGAGATCCTAGACGAAAATCGGGGCGCCCGACCACCGCCTAGCGCCTAGGCGGGGACTAGTTGGGCGTCTAGAACGATTTTTAGAACAGAGGGCGTAAGTAAAACTGGAAAGAAAAGCAGAGCAATAAACCGCATGTGGCCAGATCCAAACAATAACCACTTGATCCCTACATGGTGGCGGTTCCGGAGGGGATGAACTAGCAATATTGCATCTTTTTCCTCACTTCCTTGTGCATCACGTTTTCCTTAAATTCACACATCCAGCCCCAACTAGACTTGCACTAGGCAAATGCTTCGCATCAGAAATCATAAGAACACTTACACGGATCTCACTGGTGCTCCAAAATCCTGTCTAAGCAACCTTAGAGCGCTATCACAGAGGTAGACCAAAACTGCCGGACATAGTGAAAAAGCTCACCACTCGAAAGAGAAACCCTAGAATGGTAGAGATGGAAAACGGCCGCGGGAGATATTTTACTCCCTATGTTGGAAAAAAGCATATGAGGTGTTTGTAAAAAAATATGTACAAGGAGTTTGTAGTTTTAAATGTCATGGATGATTATGTCAGTATAAGCAATTTTTATCGAAAAAACTGTAAGAAATTGCTAATTAATCGTGAATTCGTGATGATTTGTTTGAACAAAATCGTTGTCGCCAGGACCATTCAAATATCTTTGACAGCCATGAGACAGAGGATGAATCAAATCCAATGGCGACTGTTCTACCAAAACGACAGGGAGTGATCGAACAGATTAGTTGATTAATTAGATCGAACACCACGAAAAGCATGTTTGAAAACCACCATTTACTATCTTCATTAACTAAACATTCCAATTAATACTGATGATTGATTTCAGCAAAATCGTTGTTGCCCCACCCTTCAAACATCTTTGACAGATATCTGAACGATTAAATCAATTAAATCAACGAGTTTTTTCCTAAATTAATGTTAACTAAATAAATATTTACCAAATTAAGATTGGGTTAATAATAATTCCCATACTACTGCTACCTTGGTTAAACAAACCCATACGACTTATCTAAACATACGGAGTAGGCCACAAATGTAGGAATCAAGATGGGTCCCTCATAATTATAAAACCCATTTTTTCTTTAAATGACTATAACTTTTTTATTTTTACTCTATTTTGTATAAAAAAATATATCACAATTCATAATTTTTTATGAGCTTTCATTTGACACCAATATTGCATATGTAATTTTTTTTAAAAAAATGAAGAGTATATGGAGCCTGTTTGGGAACTCTTTTTTCCGACATATCAGTCTCATCAACCAACTTTTTTACCAAATACGAAACTTTTGATTTTGTGTGCTTATTGTGTAATAATAATCAAAATAACTATGGTTGAAATTACTTATCAAACTGCATTGGTTGAAGTTATTGTACATGTATTAATGTATATTTTAACTATTTTTATTCATTTTATTAATAGAAAATAGTTTGAGTTATTCCCGAACTAATGCTAATTGAATAAATAATTAAGAAAATAAGGTGTGGTTAATAATTACCATGCCAAATTTAGATTTTTTTCTTCGGGTTTTTAGCTTCAGATTTGAGATTAAATAAGACACTCTCAGGTCGTTTGTTAAATCTCAAAGTGACCGAATTGACTGGTTATGTTAAAATTTATGAAGTTCAGGTGAAATGACTGTATTGGTTGAATTGGCTTATTCATTAAATTTATTCATAGAAGGGGTTTTGTGCATGATTAATTAAAATACAGGGGGTCTGACGTATTTTCCAAATCATATGGGGCTAATGTGTTGGATTTCTATATCACGAGGGTGTTTGGTGCATTAAACCCGAGCACCAACAGACGTAGCAATCAAGTGCGTCCCTCAGAAATATAAAATCTATTTTTCTTTAAATAGATATAACTTTTTTAATTTTTGCTCTATATTGTATAAAAAATATATCACAATTTATAATTCTTTATGGGCTTTCATTTGACACCAATATTGCATATGTCAATTTTTTACAAAAAAAATGAAGAGCATATGGAGCCCATTTGAGGACTCTTTTTTTCGACTTATCAATCTTATCAATCAACCTTTTCACCAAACACTGAACTTTTGATTTTGCGTGCTTATTGTGTATTATTCAAAATAAGTGAAGTTGAAATTACTTTTCTGACTGCATTGACTGAAATTACAATTTAGCTATTTTTATCCATTTTATTAATAGAAATTATAACGTAGTATAAGTATAAAATTTAATGAATAAGCCAATTCAACCAATAGAGTCATTTCACCTGAACTTCATAAATTTTAACAGAATCAGTCAATTCATTCACTTTGAGATTTACCAAATGACCTCAGGGTCTCTTATTTAATCCCAAATCTGAAGATAAAAACCCAAAGAAAAAATCTAAATTTGGCCTGATAATTATTAACCCAACCTTATTTTCTTAATTATTTATTCAATTAGCATTAGTTCGGGAAAAACTCAAAATATTTTCTATTAATAAATGAATAAAAATAGTTAAAATATACATCAATACATGTACAGTAACTTCAACCAATGCAGTTTGATAAGTAATTTCAACCTTACTTGTTTTGATTATTACACAATAAGCACACAAAATCAAAACTTTCGTGTTTGGTAAAAAAGTTGGTTGATGAGACTGATAAGTCGGAAAAAAGAGTTCCCAAACGGGCTCCATATACTCTTCATTTTTTTTAAAAAAATTACATATGCAATATTGGTGTCAAATGAAAGATCATAAAAAATTATGAATTGTGATATATTTTTTATACAAAATAGAGTAAAAATAAAAAAGTTATAGTCATTTAAAGAAAAAATGGGTTTTATAATTATGAGGTGCCCATCTTGATTCCTACCTTTGTGGCCTACTCCGTATGTTTAGAAAAGCCGTATGACCGTATGGGTTTGTTTAACCAAGGTAGCAGTAATATGGGAATTATTATTAACTCAACCTTAATTTGGTAAATATTTATTTAATTAACATTAATTTAGGAAAAAACTCTAAATCAACTGATTAATTAAACCAATAAGTTTTTAGTTAGACCTGTTAAAAATGAGATTGGATCAAATCAAATTAGACCAAAATTATATTCTTCTATCCATTAAAACTATGTCAACTTTTTTTGTCTCACAAACTTTCCAACTTTCCTTTTTAAATTAAAGAGAGTCAAACTTGATCAAATTTTAAGGATTGGAGGGAGTAACAATACACCGAAAATCTTTCAAGACTGCGAGTTTGATCGTCATATAAAATAATACACCAAAAATCGTATGGTTAAACTTTGTTTAGAGAAAACACAAATAATAAGAAACACTATTAATTGACTCAAAAGAAAACTCACAAAAAATTTGAAACAATTAAAGACAGAAATATTATCAAAGTTATAAGGGATTGAAGAAACATAAAACATATTAGATGAGGTTAGACGAGTCAGATCAATAAAATCAGACTTATAAGAATGGAAAATAATATAAAAAATATAAATTAAATGACATGAAATAAATCAACCAGAAATTAAAGGGAAAGTTTCCGCAATAGGACTAAAACAGTTTGAAAATTCCAAAACAGGACTGTCATGTTTTTATTCCCAAAATAGGAGTAATTACTATCAAATTTGAAAAATATTGCCATGTTTGAAGTCTGGTACTGCCAAAACATGACAATAATTAGTCCTATTTTGAAAATTAAAACATGACAGTCTTATTTTGGAATTTCCAAACATTTTTAGTCCTATTTTGGGTAATATTCTCAAAATTAAAAAACTTAACTGATAGATAGTGGTACTGTATCACAAAAGGTAAGTGTGGGTTTTGAATTCTGGCTAATTAAAGATATTTTTACTTGGACTATAATTTGCTGGTATTGTCTGGTCTAGTCTGGTCTGGTACTGTCTCGTCTCATTGTATTTTTATAACTATCCAAGGCTGGTCTGGTCTGGTCGGATCTGGTTTGGTCTGTTCTGGTCTGGTCTGGTCTGAGATAGATTACAGTCCAAGTATAGACATTCTAAGAATTGATTCTAGGAATAATTAAAACATCAGAATCACTTCTGCACTTTCCCCCAACACTCCAATTTCTGTTTCCGCCCTGAACGAGTAGAAAGCAGTTTTAGGAATCACTTCCAAACGCCACTAAAGGAGTGTTTGGGTTTGCTTAAAAAAAGCACTTTTCAGCTTTTGGCTTAAAAAAAGTTGAAAAGAGTGTTTTCAAATGACAAATTCTGCTTAAATTAATCACTTAAAAGCTAAAAGCTGGAAGCAGGTAGAAGGGTGCTTTAAACTGCTTCTCACTTTTTCTATTACACAAAAAGTACTTATTTTACCAAACACTACCAACTTTTACTTTTCCAGAATCACTTTTTTCTCAAACACTACCAACTTTTACTATTAATCACTTTTCCCAAAATCACTTTAAAAAATCATTTTTTTAAAGTTGAAGTAATTGCAAACACTCCCTAAATAATCAAGGAAAAGTAGGGATGAGAGTGCACGTGCAATTTCCAGTGTGGATCCCACGACACAGACCTTACGCGTGTGCCATCACCTCCAAACGGGTCGAGAATTGGCAGCTTCCGACCCGGCCGACCCGTCGCTGTCGGGACAAGATATCCAAAGCCCAACTCAGTCCACCCAATTTCCGGGCACTGCCCATTGCCCCATACGCCGGACACCACATCCTTATCCGCATCCCAAGAATGGGTGAAAGCGACGGGTGGACCCGCCCGCCCGCACACCTTTTAACGCATACTCTGTATATGGGCTCAACCGTGGATGTCCAGCCACGTTGCAGAGGCCGTCGCCGTTAGCGGTCCCGCGAGATTCTCCGCGGTTTACGCTTCGTCTATTTGCGTGGCGAGGTTGGTGACGACGACCTTTTCTCCATATCAGGACACGTGCATGTCGGGCGTGAATGTCATGCAGACGATCACCGCGTAAATATCCAAGTTTGAAGGCTTTATTAGTCTATTGTTAATCGTTACTCTTTTTGTCTAAAATAAATTGTCCTTCCTGACCTCTTAGATTGGCCTAAAAAGTTTCTCTTTTTTTTTCCTTTTATTTATTTTATCTTTTATTGAATGTTACGAAGAGTATAACTTGTATGGAGTATAATAATTCTATATCAGTCCCACTAATATTGGGACATGAAGAGTGACAAAATTATTACGAGAAGTGAATTATGTGATTTATATTGAATTTATAAACTAAGAAAATAAAGTAAAAACGATTTAGAGTCATACTAACTTTACCAAAAAAAAACGCTTCCTCTTTAATCATTTAATCAAGAGATATTACCCGAAATATGACTAAAAAGGTTTGAAAATTCGAAAATAGGACTGCCATGTTTTTATTCCCAAAATAGGTGATAGAGTATATGGCCCAGGAACCCCCGGCCCATAAACTTCTGTTTCGCCTACGCAGGCCCATTGAGCCCAAGGAACATTCGAAGCCCAAATACAGCGGCCCAAGTCTCAAAGAAACCCAAAATACACACTGGGGTGCCTTTGGCCTCCTTGACCGAAGGCTCCAAATGGCGCAGGGCGGCCAGATTTGAGCATACGAAGCTACTAGGAGAA